CTGACCGGCCTATTCAAGGCTTTGGATATCTTTATATGTCCTTTTCCATCTTTATAAAGTGTCTACCGCTTTTTTAATGTGTTCCTGATGTTTCTGTGATGCTTCAATGATGCTGTTTTTTCCAGTAGAACCCCCAGCTCAGTATCCGTCTATCCACTTGATGTAAAGGAAAATGTGATCCATCAGACCAGGCCTCCTTCTTCCATGGCTCCGTGGTCCAGTTCTGAAGCTCACGTGCCCATTGTAGGACACAGGTCAGCATGGGCGACCTGACTGGTCAGCGGCTACACCGCCCCCCCATACACAACAAACTGCAGGGCCTATCTTTTTCTGCTTTCAGCACATGGACTTCAGGGACAACATTTTTACTTTCTGAATAACATCTCACCCACTTTCAGATGCCAATGTTACCTGATGATCAACGTCTTCCATTTTACCTATCGGTGGTCTTAATGTTTTTTTACTGATCTGTGAACAGTCCATACACACCCAGCACAAGGCCGGGGTCACACTACCAGACGGTTCTCTGGTCTGCAGTTCCTCTGAGCTCCAAAGGTGGGGATCGCACTTCTATCCAGACAGGAAGTCTCTATGGAAGACAGGAAGTGATGTCAGGGACAGATAGGAAGTGATGTCAAGTATGAATAGACAGTTCATGAGCAATAAGTCGGGAGGAAGTAGAGAGGCAATTTTGGTGGAAGTGGCAGCAGAGGAGGTAATAAGATCTGATTTTCTATTTACACCCAGTAACCCCCCATCACGACCGTCCTCTTCCTCCAACGTCACACCTGGCCTCTTCCTCTAACGTCACGCCCGGCGTCTTCCTCCAACTTCACGACCGTCCTCTTCCTCCAACTTCACGACCGTCCTCTTCCTCCAACGTCACGCCCCTCCCTCTTCCTCCACCGTCGCGCCCCTCCTCTTCCTCCACCGTCGCGCCCGTCCTCTTCCTCCATCGTCGCGCCCGCCTCTTCCTCCATCGTCGCGCCGGCCTCTTTCTCCATCGTCTCGTCCTCTTTCTCCATCGTCCCGTCCTCTTTCTCCATCGTCCCGTCCTCTTTCTCCATCGTCATGCCCGTCCTCTTCCTCCATCGTCCCGTCCGTCCTCTTCCTCCATCGTCCCGTCCGTCCTCTTCCTCCATCGTCCCGTCAGTCCTCTTCCTCCATCGTCCCGTCAGTCCTCTTCCTCCATCGTCCCGTCCGTCCTCTTCCTCCATCGTCCCGTCCGTCCTCTTCCTCCATCGTCCCGTCCGTCCTCTTCCTCCATCGTCCCGTCCGTCCTCTTCCTCCATCGTCCCGTCCGTCCTTTTCCCTCCAGCGTCACGTCCGTCCTTTTCCTCCACAGTCATGACCGTCCTCTTCCTCCATAGTCACGTCCGTTCTCTTCCTCCATAGTCACTGTGACGTCTTTTATCTACAGCAGATGATGATACACACATATATAGTGTGGGAACCCAGATTAACCCCTTCAGGGGCAGAACATTCCCCCACTTCTGGGGCCGGAACATTCTCCTCATTGTGGAGATGTATCCACTTCCTCTCTCATTGACCCCAATTTTGGCGGATTTTTTGGTTGATTATATTGGTTATTATCCACTTTTGATTCTGGTCAGCAGTTTAAAAGCAGCCAATGATGGGAGGATATGGATAACCCCACCCCTCATAAGAGAGAGTTTAGCCTCAGCTAATAAATGGAGGAGTTGGATAACCCGACTCATCACTAAACTTCAGTTGATGAGGGTGGTAAAGAAGTAGAGGTCAATGGAGGAAAGGAAAGAGGACAGTTTGGGTGATATATTGAAACCAGGTTGGTGATGTATCTCAGGACAGTTATGGATGGTTTTATAGGTTTTTGTTAATATTTTGAAATGCATTTATTACGTGAGTTGAGGCCAGTGGAGGGATTGGCAGAGAGGGATGGAGGACACTGAATGGAGGCCAGTGGAGGGATTGGCAGAGAGGGGTGGAGGACACTGAGCAGTTGATAAGGTGGATGAGTCTGGAGAATACATCCCCATCCTAATATTGTACAACCAGTACAGTCCAGATCATTCTCTGTTATCAATTTTTGGTCTACAGGAAACCTGTATAGATCACATGACCAATGAGGATGGAGGAGGACCGGAGTCACATGACTGAGAGGATACTAAACCTCACCCTGGAGATTATCTACCTGCTGACCGGAGAGGTGAGGAGGATTGTGGGAGGTCACATGACATTTATTTATTTATTTATCGAGTTTATATAGCGCCAAAGGGTTTGCTCAGCGCTGTACAATAGAGGGGGGGACAATACATGAAACAGAACAGTAACATCAAACAGTACACAAGGGGTAAGAGGGCCCTACTCTTTCGAGCTTACAATCTAGGAGGGAGGGGGGTAGAGGCACAGGAGGAAATGGCTGTGGGGGATGGAGTGGTAGGAGGAGGGAAGGGCAGCGGCTGTTAGGTGAGGGTGGGGTAGGCTTCCCTGAAGAGGTGGGTTTTCAGGGAGCGCCTGAAGGTGAGGAGGGAAGGTGACAGTCTGATGGATTGGGGTAGTGAGTTCCAGAGGATGGGGGAGGACCTGGAGAAGTCTTGCAGTCGTGCGTGGGAGGAGGAGACCAGGGAGCAAGATAGAAGGAGGTCCTGTGAAGAGCGAAGGGTACGGGTAGGGTGGTACCTGGGAATCAGGTCGGTGAGGTAGTTAGGGGCAGTGTTGTGAATGGCCTTATAGGTCAGGGTGAGCAATTTGAATTTAATGCATTGGGCAATGGGGAGCCAGTGGAGGGAGAGGCAGAGGGGGGTGGCAGAGGTGGAGCGGCTGGTGAGGTGGATGAGTCTGGCAGCTGAGTTCAGGATGGTCTGAAGCGGGGAGAGCCTGCACTGGGGTAGGCCGGTGAGGAGGGAGTTGCAGTAGTCAAGGCGTGAGATAATCAGGGAGTGTACGAGTAGTTTAGTGGTGTCTGGGGTAAGGAAGGAGCGTATCTTGGCGATGTTCCGGAGGTGGAGCCTGCATGTGTTTGTAAGTGATTTGATATGAGGTTTAAAGGAAAAGTTTGAGTCCAGAATGACGCCAAGGACCTTGGCTTGCTGGGCGGGATTGATGGTGGTGTTGTTGGTAGTGATGGAAAGGATGGGGGGGGGGGGGGGCGCGGGCTGGGGGGGAAGATGAGAAGCTCTCATCTCTATTAATAAAACACAGACCTGACCGGAGAGGTGAGGAGGATTCTGGGAGGTCACATGACATCACTCCTATCTCTATTAATAAAACACAGACCTGACCGGAGAGGTGAGGAGGATTCTGGGAGGTCACATAACATCACACAGACCTGACCGGAGAAGTGAGGAGGATTCTGGGAGTCTAACATGATGTTCCTATTGGTTCCCCAATACAGAGATTTCCTCTTCTGAAGTCAGGTGATTATATGACCATCACAGTGCCTCCATGTGACTCCCTAAACCCTGAGAGACACAACATGGAGAGAAGATTCTAGAAGTCACCAAGAAGATGATGGAGCTGCTGACAGGAGAGGTGAGCGGTGCCGTGAATTCTGGGACATTCTCCAGTAACAGACAAGGGATGTGTCTGGATGGTGACTGTATCATTGTGTGTGTCAGGTTCCTATAAGGTGTCAGGGTGTCACTGTCTATTTCTCCATGGAGGAGTGGGAGTATTTAGAAGGACACAAGGACCTCTACAAGAACTTCATGATGATTGATGATCACTGATAGTATCATTAGGATCTGTACATTATCTGCATTGTTACCATTTATGTCATTTTATTATATATTCAGATTGGAAACCTGAGAGATTTTACAGTTGAGGTTAAAGAAGAGATAAAAGAGGAGGAGGATGAGGATGGGGTGATGGAGGAGTCAGAGATTCCAGAAGGACACAAAGATCTGTACCAGGACACCATGGTGGAGTCATCCAGCTACAGGAACCCACCAGAGAGATGTCTCCGTCCTCTGTATTCCCGGGATTCCACACAGGAAGGTCACACCATCCCTCACCATCATCAGGTAGATGAGGAACAATCAGTGATAGTGCTATTTTATACACAAGCTTCTCTGTTACAATACATTTATTTATATATTTAGAGTGGAATCCTCGGGGATTATAATATTATTAAGGAAGAGTATAAAGAGGAGGATGAGGAGTATGGAGTGATGGAAGAGCTTTCAGAAGGACACAAGGATCTCTACGAGGACATCAGGATGGAACCACCTATTAATGGGAACCCACCAGAGAGATGTCCCCGTCCTTTGTATTCCCGGGATTCCACACAGGAAGGTCACACCATCCCTCACCATCATCAGGTAGGTGGAGTTGAGGGTCGGGAACATAAAGTGATGGAACACTCTGACATGTGGAGACGATGTGTGGACTCTACAAGATGAGATGTTCTATGTGATCTCACATCATAAATCCTTCTATGTTACAGATGTTATTTTCTGCCATTCTGTTGGTTTAGGGTGAAGATCTGATGAACATGAAAGTTGAGGGTGAAGTAGAAGAGACGTATGTGAGGGATGATCAGCAATATACGGAGGAGGCTGGAATGAGGAGGACATTCATAGAGGAGGACACTACAGAGATCAGCACAGGTGACCAGAATATATTCTTCTCTGATCTTTTCTCTGTTACCGCCCTCCTCCCAGCCCCCATTGGTTCCTGCTCCTCTGACAAAGGGGTGTAAATGTAGAAGTGATCTGGGAGGAGGAGCAAAGGTCCTTTGACTGAAGAGGGGAGGAGTCCCAGCTGGTTGGGACATCCACAGAGAACATCTGCTCCCTCCTATCTCCCTGATCCAGATGGAATCTTGATGGAAGTGAACTAACCCCCTCCTATCTATTGATGATGTTTTTCTATTTTTCCAGGACCCGCCATGGAGAAACCCTCAAAGGATCGTCTCACTTTATCTCCAGGTTGTAAAATGGAAGATGAGGACATCCCAGGAGATTGTGCCGGAGAAAACACAATGAGCTCCACTATGGATGGTGGACTTCCCAGTGTGGAGAGACCATGGAGTCTCTCTGACTCTGAGCAAACTCATACTGGGGGGGATGGGGCCGAGATTCAGGGGGAGAAGAAACATGCCTGCCCCGAGTGCGGGAAGAGTTTCCCACGAAGATACGACTTTGTTTTACATCAAAGAACTCACACAGGGGAGAAGCCGTATTTTTGTTCTGAGTGCGGCAAATGTTTTGCAATAAAATCTAACCTTGCAAAACATCAAAGAACTCACACGGGGGAGAAGGCATTTTCCTGCCCAGAGTGCGGGAAATGTTTCTCACAGAAGGTCCATCTTATTTCACATCAGAGAACTCACACGGGTGAAAAGCCATATTCCTGTCCTGAGTGTGGAAAATGTTTTACAGAAAAATCAGTCCTTGTAACACATCAGAGAACTCACACGGGGTGAGAAGGCGTATTCCTGCCCTGAGTGCGGGAAATGTTATTCACAGAAAAAACATCTTGTTGCCCATCACAGATCTCACACGGGGGAGAAGCCATATTCTTGCCCTGAGTGTGTGGAGAATGTTTTTCTATCAGGTCCCATCTGAACAAACATCTGACCTCTCACACCGGTGAGAAACCTCATCCCTGTTCCGAGTGTGGGAAATACTTCTTTCTGAAGTCCCATCTTAACAAACATCTGAGGTCTCACACAGGTGAGAAACCACATTCCTGTTCCGAGTGCGGGAAATGTTTTAGAGAAAAAAAAAAGGCCTTGTCAATCATCAAAGAACTCACACGGGTGAGAAGGCATATTCCTGCCCTGAGTGCGGGAAATGTTTTACACAGAAGCACCATCTTGATACACATCAGAGGACTCATACGGGTGAAAAGCCGTATTCCTGCCCTGAGTGTGGAAAATGTTTTACACAAAAAGCAGGCCTTCTACAACATAAAACGACTCACACGGGTGAGAAGGCGTATTCCTGCCCTGAGTGCGGGAAATGTTTTGCACAGAATGCCCATCTTAAAATACATCGGGGAATTCACACGGGTGAAAAACCACATTCTTGTCTTGAATGCGGGAGATGTTTTTTACATAAATCAGTCCTTGTTAAACATCAAAGATCTCACACAAGAGGGAAGCCGTAATCCTGCCCTTAGTGCGGGAAATGTTTTTCACTCAAGTATGATTTTAATAAACACTCTAGGTGAGTAGACGCATGGCTTCTTAGTGTAGAAAATGCACTTTGTGAAAGTCTGATCTTACTGAACCTCAGATATGCTACACGGGGAAAGCTGTTGTTCTGCCCTGAGTGCGGGAAATTTGTTTCCACAAGAATCAGAACTTGTCAAACATCAATGATCTCAGAAGCTGTATTCCTATCCTGAGTGCGGGAAATGTTTTTCACAGAAGTCCTATCTTCTCAAACATCAGAGAACCCACAAGGTGTATTAGTGTCCTGAGTGCGGGAAATGTCTTCTCTATGGAAGATATGTTGCCGTACATCAGAGATCTCACGGGGAAGAAGCACACCTTGATATACACCTCAGCTAACACATGGCTGAGTGCTCCTCTGATCTTTATCATGGAAGAAACACTTTATAAGGAGATCAGAGATCACTAAAGACTTCAACGTTGTGTCTGGCTTCCTCTGCTAGGAGGGAGAAGGAGGGGCGGTCACCGTTGGTTGGGTCCCTCTAGCAGTGTAGTCTGATCTCCCCTGACCTTCAGCAGAAGCTTACATGGAGGAAATCATGGTGAGAGAAAAGGGGGGGGGGTCACTGTTGGTTGGGTCCCTCTAGCAGTGTAGTCTGATCTCCCCTGACCTTCAGCAGAAGCTTCCATGGAGGACACCATGGTGAGAGAGAGAGAGCTAGAGGCGAGATCAGACTATATTACAGACTGACAATTTTTGTGCAGTGGTAATCAGCCTGCACAAGCAGCTTCGTTTGTGTGGAGATCAACACCTGCTGGCTGCAGGTAGAAAATAACATTTCCAGATGTATTATTTCAGATTTTTCCTGATAAAAATTCAAATGTACACTAATCTAACCTTGTGTCTTAGTAGTTTGGTGTTCCCAGCTTGTCCTTGTTGGAACAGCCGCCTCTCAGGACATCTGTAGTATAGTCCAATGATAAGTCCATCAGTCCAAAGACCCATCTATCATTCCTCCCGTAATTCCTCCTCCGCACCATCACCTTGTTGGAACAGCCGACTCTCCCCCTTCTCATAGATCTCAGGATGTCTGTAGTATACTCCAATGATAAGTCCATCAGTCCATAGACCCATCTATCATTCCTCCCGTAATTCCTCCTCCGCACCATCACCACCTCCAACCACAAGATCATTCTTGTCTTCTTTTCCCATCTCAGGACGTCTGTAGTATAGTCCAATGATAAGTTCATTACTATATTATTATGCTTTTACTGAACTAGCTGGTCCAAAATTTCCCTAATGAACAGGACTCCCTGCATAAAGATTGCTGTTTATACAAACTATTTACATTCACAGGAAAAAAAAAATGAGACGAGGAATATCGAGTAATATAAACATGAATACATGCACACATTCAAATGATATCTATCCTTTACTAGCTGAAGAAAATTACCAATCATTTCTACGCAACAGGGATACACTGATCAAGCACCTGTGGTAGTGAGCCCTTGTACATAGTCAACTTGGGTTCCCGAGGGCGCAGAGTCTAAGCCCCAGCCTGCTTCTTTACCAGAGCCCCTGATGGTGGGGATGGACTTGCAGCAAGCTGGGACCAGGTCGCTGCAACCAGGTACGCCCAGCTGAGGATGAGGAGACTGCTCGCAGAAGCAGAATACAATGGGAGGAGACAAACGGAAATCCGATTGACTAGCCAAGGTCAGGACAGGCAGAAAACGAGCACAGTCAGAGAATGAAGCCGGGGGCGGTACACGAGTAGTCAATGCAGGATACAGGAGTTAGTAACACACAGGAGCTCTAATAACTAAGAAGTTGCTCAGGCAAAGTGGCCTAGACTGAGCATGTCTTATATAGGCAAGCAAACTAGGAGGTGGGCCAGGAAGTGATGGAAGGGAAGGAAATGAAACCCAGAGAACAGCAGACGATGTGTATAGGTGAGCACAGACAAACATACGTGAAGGGATCAGGAACAGCACTGCAGCAAGGAGGTAAGAATACACAAACAAGAAACTGCAGGCTAACTTGTGACATACACTAAAAGTAATTTAACTTCCGTTATAGCTAGTCCACAATTTCCTTAATGAACAGGACTCCCAGCATTTCCGTTATAGCTGGTCCACAGTTTCCTTAATGAACAGGACTCCCAGCATTTCCGTTAGAGCTGGTCCACAATTTCCTTAATGAACAGGACTCCCAGCATTTCTGTTATAGCTGGTCCACAATTTCCTTAATGAACAGGACTCCCAGCATTTCCGTTAGAGCTGGTCCACAATTTCCTTAATGAACAGGACTCCCAGCATTTCCGTTATAGCTGGTCCACAATTTCCTTAATGAACAGGACTCCCAGCATTTCCGTTATAGCTGGTCCACAATTTCCTTAATGAACAGGACTCTCACCATTTCCATTAGAGCTGTGCCACAATTTCCTTAATGAACAGGACTCCCAGAATTATGTGATCACAGAAAAACAGGTCCTTGATCTGGACAGTCTCTTTCTTACTTTTATAATGGAGCTTTATTGTTGTCTCAAGGTGAAGTTATGCGCAAACGCAGAGTTCCTGTTAGCCAGGTTCATGCTCATGCACGCCCACTACTAAGACAGGCACCAAATGGGGCTATTTAAACAGTGTTACCTGCATATCTGTTATTGTATCTGATCTCCTGTTGCCAATCTGACCTGCCTTGACCATGCTTGAACTCTGCCTGTACCAACCCCTGGCTTGTCTCTGGACTACATCTCTTCCTGCTCCCTACCTGCCTCGCCGTTGCTGACTCTGGCCTGGACTTTGACTTCTCTCCTGTCTGTAGTTCTGGTTTTGACCAGCCTGTTAGTTACTGACCTGGCTTGCCTGACTCTGCTCTACACACTGAGCCTGTGACAATCCTCTGCATGCTGCCATCCTGCAGCCAGGCAAGTGTCTGCTGTCTCTGCCAGTGACCCACCAGCCTGCCATCTCCGCTGCTCTGCGTCCACAGTCTAGCCTGCATCTGGGTGCACACAGACATCTCATTGGCATCTGTCATCATAAGAACTGTCAGGCACTCGTGCCACTCCAGGCTCTTGTACCTCCTTTTACCTTACATGGGGCACTGAGCTGGAGGTGTAAAAGGCCTACCTCTCCACATCAGGCTCCATCATCAGGTATGTGACAGTACCATAAGGCCATGCTGGAGCCTGAGAAGGGCTTGTCCCCCAGGTGAAATCAGCCTGGCACGTTGCAGCATTGATGCAAGCAATCAATGACCCACAAGAGAGGTACATCCGATTTGAGAATCCCCTCCAGACTCTTCCCACGCCTGTGTCTTTAACTGCCACTGCAACCTCCACTGCCCCAGCTGCTTCATCAGGAGCCACAGGTATGATGCTGCCTCCGGAACTCCTAGTGGCGATCGTAGCAAGTTCTGAACCTCCCAAAACGCATGTGAACTATACTTTTGATACAACCTCACACCTCTCTAGAGGCAACCAAGGTGGGGTTCCTCATATCACTACCTCAAGGTGAACCCCAGACCTGGGCTCATCACTTGCTGAAGAATGAGGAAGCCAAGCTGTCAACCTTGAATCTCTTCTTCGACACTATGGCACAGTTGTATGATGATCCTCAGCGAGCCGCATCAGTAGTGGCAGCCCTCCATTTGCTTCAGCAAGGCCACAGGGCAGTGGAAGATCATGTGACTGGATTGCTGACGCCAGCTGGAATGACGCTTCCCTGCATTATCAATTCTGCCTGTGCCTTGCTGAACCCCTCCTCAAAGGTAAACTGGCTTGTGTAGGGGTGCCAAGGTTGCTGTAGGGGTGCCAATCTTGCTGGAGGGATTTATTAATCCGTCAATCCAGATTGTTAATTCTTAGAAATTGATGGTAGGAAAGGTACTCTGGTCAAGCTGTCTAAGGCTCCACCACCATCGAATGTGCCTCCAGCCCTTCCATCTTCACCTGCCATTGAAGAACCTGGGCCAATGCAGTTGGGGTTACTATGCAACTTCTTAATACCTGCAGAGCATCGTCACCGCCGGCGGCAGAATAATCTGTGTCTCTACTGCAGAGAAGTGGGTCACTACGTGCAGAACTGTCCACTGAAGAGTGTCTAACCATCTCACCTGCTAATCTGCCACCAGTGCCTTCTAGTTCCATTCATGTTGCTCTCCCCATCTCACTTCAGCTTCCGGGAAGAGCCATTTCAGTCTCCACCATAATGGATTCAGGAGCTTGCAGTTGTTTTATTGACCTGACTTTTGCCACCCAGTACCAGATACC